GGGAGAGAGGGAGAGAGGGAGAGAGCATGTTGCACTGCAAGTAAATACCTGGCTGTATGCCCGCAGGAGCCACCAACACCGGGACCCACAGAATGAGCTCTGCGTGTTTGCGCAGAAGGGACCAAAGAGACGCTGTGACATTGTCTGCTAACATGCGCTGCGGCGACTCAAATGTGCCGGTTGGTCAACGAACTGTCACATTTGAATTTCGTAGGGGGCAAAAGAAACATGTGTCGGCAAAGAAACCAGGCGCAAGTTTGAAAAAGGTATCGTGGCCATGGTGTCAGGCTGACGAGGGTTCGACGACATCGGTTCGCTGACTCGACATGACCTGCCATCATCACTGCACAGCACTGTTCGTTGAGTCTTCACTGCGCGACACTGTGTGTTGAGTCTGTATTTTTTTTTTTTTTGAATTGTCGACTTGTTGTATTGGACGTCGGTCCTGTGCGACTACGTAGTGGTGCTGTGTGCTTCTCGGGTGCAGTCAACTTGCTATATCCATTCCCCCTGGACAGTTACAGACTTGGAATCTGAAATCCTTCATTTATTTATTTATTTTTAGATTTTGACCATTTCTCTATTTAAGCATGTTATCCTTTGCGAGGAATGAGCCCTTGCGGGGCCCTTCTCAAACATGCACATGTTCTGGGCAGAGGCCCTCACCAAGCCAAGTGCCTGCCCTAAGTGACGGCGGGCCTGAATATTCACTAGAGGCCAAAATTTGCTGAGTACGGATCCGGGCCGCCCGGCCGACCGGCGCCTGCCCGGGGGAGGTCCCGGGCGGCCTGGCCGGGCGGGCGGCCCGGTTGGGGGCCGGGCCCCCCCCGCACACTCACCTGTAGGGGGGTTTCAGACCCTGAATGGACTCGTTTCTGCGTTGCCAGGGCCTACCGGGTCCGACCACGCCCAGAAAACGGTGCGTCGGGCCCGGGAGGCCTGCTTTTTTTTTTTGAATTTTGGAAGGCCCTCCGGCCGTCGATCATCCATGATCGACGGCCAGAGGGCCATTCGTTTTTGGAGGGAAACAGGACGCCCCGTTTGAACAAGCGAGTGGCTTGGGCGGTCTCCATTGGGTTTCCAAACTGGGCCCCTTCTCCAGCTGCCGCGTTTCGACCACACGGAGTCCGTCGTCCAAGCAGCTGCCCGTCGTCGCCATCGCCCAGGACAGTCGTCGCCCGTCGCCCGTCGCCCGTCGCCCGTCGTCGAAGCTGCTGCCTGCCGTCGCCCGTCGTCGAAGCTGCTGCCTGCACTGCCGCCCGTCATCGAGGACTGCCGGTCTCTTCTTCTTCTTCTTCTTCTTCTTCTTCTTCTTCTTCTTCTTCTTCTTCTTCTTCTTCTTCGTCTTCCCTCCTCTTCCTCCTCCTCTTATTCTTCTGCTTCTTCTTCTCTCCTCCTCGTCCTCCCCCTCTCATCTTCT